AATACTCATACTTCACAATGTTGGCCATAGCTTGTCATGATCCACACATTTGGAAGCCTTTGCATAGTCAATAAAGCACAGGTAAACATCTTTCTGATATTCTCTGCTTTCAGCCAAGATTAATCATCTTAAATGACAATTCTTGTCATTTCATTCTCTATAATCCTCAATGATTCTATTATCTTTAGAGTAATTTCTAAATTCCTTAAAAATGATATCAAATGTCTCTTTAAAAGGAATATTAAATGGCCCCAATATATCTTTTCCCTGGTTTCAAATAATACCAACTTCCTACCATTCTGAAAATTTGTTCAATGATTTCACAATTCTGTGCTTTTGTTCATGCCATTTGTAACAACATCACCTGTTCCTATTGGAACCTTCTCTATTTAAATTGTAAAATGATATTGCTCACCTCTTCAGCTGTAAATAAAATCTTCTTATAAGTATTGATGTGATTCTGCAATGACTGAGAACAGATGTTTTTCATCTTATATCCTCCAATATGCCTAGCACAAACAAACAAGCAAAACAAATTGTGAATGAATCTGTTCCAACTCATGGTAATGCATGTGTATCAGAGTAAAACTATGCTCCATAGGGTTTCCTCTGAGTGGATTTGAACCACAAACCTTTTGGTTAGCAACTAAGTGCTCAACCATTGCATCACTCTAAGCCTTACATATTGATGTTGTTTAATGGTGCCATTAACTCAGTTTTGGCTTGCAGCATCCCCAGATGATAGAGTAAAACTGCCCATAAGGTTTCCTAAGCTGTAATTTTTACAGAAGCAGATTGACAAGTCTACCTCCAAGAGAACCATTGAGTGGGTTCTTAACGTCTAACTTTTATTAGTAACCAAGCACTTAACCTTTCATGCCACCAGGGCTACATAGCACATTGCAGAAAACAAGAACAGAATGACCATTAAATTGAACTGACATGTTAGCTTTCTTTCTGATGAAGCGGATGACGTGTCAAGAAATCTTGATAACTACAATTATGTAACACATTTGATCTTAAAAGCAGATAATATATGATATTTATATTTTATATGAACTGTTTATTGAATCACAATCTCTCCTTCATTATGAAAGGGTCTTTATTATAAATAGTAGTAAATAACAAATACCTTTATTTTTTAAACTGTTATTCAGGTGTTCTCCTTTTTTATACTTTCCATTGTTTGGGGACCAAGTAGACTTTATTGAAACATTTAAATGTTGAGATATAATCACAAAATTTACTTAACAGTTTCTCAACCAAAAACAAACACTAAGCTATTTAAACATGAGATTGATTTTTCTGAATTGAAAGCTTTACCTTATCTAAAATTTTATGCAAGTTAGCAAAATGTGACTATCTCTAAATTTCAAATGAATTCCATCAGGCTAAAGTTTGCCTCTGCTCCAACTATGGGATTATGTCCTGTAATATGAAAGATAAATTGAGAAATAATATTATTACAGAAGATATAAACTCTTAACAAAAATCCTACTAATTTTTAAACAAAACTCTCTTGACAAAAGGAAGAGAAGAGTTGAACCACTGTTTGAATAATTTCTTCCACTTATAATCTTCATCTAGCTAATTCACTCCTTTAAACACTTTTTTCTTAAAAAAATGTTCCTAATCTTTAAATTCTCTATTAGTTGCTTTTCTTTTTCTGCAAAGATTAGAGACATGTCAAAAATCTGAGGACTGATAATACATACAGGTTATTTTTAAAGTATTTTAAAATAATGATTAAAATTAAATGAAGAGATCATTTCATTTAAAATTTTCTCCAAATCATTTTTATTTGTATATATCCTAAAAAATTGTTTACAATGATATCTCATCTAGAGATAAAAGTTGAAAACTATTGCTGTATATAAAATAATGGTTGGTTGGTTGGTTGGTTATGTACTGTGAAGTTGGTTCCAACTCATAGCAACCCTGCATAGGGTTTCCAAGGCTGTAAATCTTTACTGGAGCAGAAAGCCTCATCTTTCCTGCAGAACAGCTGGTAGTTTGAACTGCTGCCCTTGAGGTCAGCAGTCGGACTCATAACCACTGCACTACCAGAGCGCCTTTATTCAATAATAATTATTCCTAAATACTCTCAGGAACATTTATAACACCAATATGTTATTTTACTTAAATCTTACAACTACCTACAAAACAATTAATTATAATAATCATTTCTCCATTTTTTAAAGTTGAAGGAAGTGATAATGAACTTAAATAAGTGATCTGAGGCTATAACACTAATAAGTTTGGAAATAATGAGTTAACATTGATCTTTCTGAGACAAAAGCCCAACTGGAGGCTTCAGTTATTGTCAATGAAGCACAACTGGAATTGACCCTAATTTGGGAAATGTAGGCAAATCAGAATCATAACCAAAACAGGAAAAAATACTGGTTGATGTCATTCCTGAAATGTAATTTTCCTCTTAGATGATATAGGCAGTATGAACATTGCATAGCAACCAAAGCTCTTGACCAGGAAAGTCAGAACCAATAGTCCCCAACTCAACAATGGCCGCTAAACAACTGGTTTGAATATGTGTTGCTATCTACAGTCCTGGCGATAAGTTTCTCCATTCCAACAATCATTCTGCTTCACTCAGACTTTTAAAATGTTGGTCTGTTCTGATTTTGCTTCATCAGTCATGACTGAACTAGTTTGAACCAGTTTGAAGCCTTGGTCTATATAATACCACAGCTGCCTCTATATCCCCAAAGCAAATAATAATAATGAGGAAACATTGCCTTGCATAAATGTGTAAGAAACACCATGGCCTATTGCACTGATTTCAAGCACTCCCTTTAATTTTTTTTGTATTCTTTCCCTCCAGTTGCTGGAATTCTTTCTGCTGCATTGTCTATGATGGTAGCTGGCTTCTTTGAAATACACAGGAAAGACCTCCCTCCAATGGAGCAAACTCTTTCAGGCAAAGTTCTCATCGTTTCCTCCATGCCCTGCTCCCACCTGGTTCTCCAGTATATTTTACTTGGTGTGGCTGAAACACTAGTAAATCCAGCCTGTGAGTAATCATCTTATGAACTAATGTTTGAACATACTGAACGTTAGCACAGAACACAGCATCCTAACAGGAACAATTCAAGTGAATGACGATCTACATACCCCTGGAGATTTCCCACAATAAATCTAAACAAACCTATATATCACTCATTTTTTAGTTAAAGGCACTAACTATTTGGCCAGATGCATAACAAGAATTTTTCTTAAAACCTCTACTAGACCCTGGAAGAAATATGGCCAATATATTCAGATAAAAAGTCTTCTCTTCTCTCCTCCCCAACTCTCAACCTGTTTCCCTCTCTCTCATAGATAAACTCACATTTAAATCCCCTCCAAAATGTTTACCTAAAGTACTTGGAAAGTGTATAAGCATGCAAACAAAGTAAAAATTTGAGTCAACTTTCCAATGTTGACTTTTCAATGCCTTTAAATTAAATTACACTAAATTAACTACGGAGCTCTGGTAGCGTAGTGGTAATGAATTGGGCTGCTAACCTTAGGGTCAGCAGTTGGAAACTACCAGCTGTTCCGCGGGAGAAAGATGAGACTTTCTGCTCCCATATAAAGATATACAACCTTGGAAACTGTGTACAGGGTCACTATGAGTCAGAACCGACTCCACGGCACATAACAACAACAAATTAACTATGATCACTGTTGTTGTTGTTGCTAAGTGCTGTCGAGTCGATTCTGACTCATGGCGACCCTGTACAGGGTTTCCAAGGAGCAGCTGGTGGATTAGAACATGTTCAAAATAAGTTTATAAGATAGCAAGGGTTTCTGAACTATATAGATTGCTTTTGTCAATTAAACTAGCCCCTTATAAATCAAAATACTGCAGTAACTGCCTGCAACAGAATAATAAATAATTGAGTGTGTGTGTGAATACATACAGACATACCAATAGGATATCAAAGTAATCCATTAATAAAGTCAAAGTAAAATTGATTAATAACATTTGTGGAGCCATAATCATATGTATAAGGAGCTCTGGTAGCATAGTGTCAGGCTGCTAATCTCATGGTCAGCAGTTCAAAACTACCAACGGTTCCATGGGAAAAAGATGAAGCTTTCTGCTCCTGTAAAGATTTACAAACTTGAAATGCTATACAGGATAACTATGAGTCAGAACTGACTCCACAGCACATAACCACTACCACCAACAAACATATGTATGCATCAAACCTGTTTTTTATAAATGTAAGATAAGTTAATTTCATCTATTTTACCTGACTATACAATTTTATAAGATTCTATGATGTTAACATCATTGTTTGGCGCTGCAAGGAACACAAAAGAAGTGTTAAAGAATGCCTCTATCCAAATGCTTGTAATCTTTTCTGATATTATTTCCAGAAAATTGTTTGAAGTTGGAAGTCAAAACTTTCAGGGTTAGGTGTCGAGGAAGGTAATAAGTAAATACAGTGAGAAAATTCCCAGCCAGCTTAACAATAGTTCAAGGTATAATGGCTATAGACACCAATAACCAGAGATTATTAAAAAGCAGATTTTGTAATATAAATCACTTTGTCCACCCCCCTTGTTTTATCCAGAGATTTTGGTTTGAGTTGCAGCTTTGTCACTTATTAACTGTGTAGTCATTTAACCTCCAAGTTTTACCTTTCTCATTTTTAACAAAGAAATAATTATACCTCTTTATAGCATAGCATTAATGTGAAAGCCTCTGGAAGCAGGAGGCTAGTCCTTGAGAATCAAATGAAATACAATGTGAAAGAGTGTTTTGAACTGCAAAATTAAATATTACAGTTTTGGGAGGCAGTCCAGTGTAATGGTTAAAATTAATGGACTTAAAACCAGATAGACTAGAGTTCAAACCCTTGGGTGTTGGACAAATTATTCTGCAGATCTGAACCTTTCTCTTCATCTACAAAATGGGGGGAAATCATTATAAGGTCTAAATGAAATATTTTATAGAAAGCAGCATGTGCTGTTGCTGATATATAGAAAGCACTCAATAATTAACAGTAATAATGCATGTTATTATGATTATTATCTTTCACATGGGTATGTAAGAGAATGTGATTATAGTAACTGACCATGTAGTGGAGACATGTCGGAGGTAAGAAATATAAAAATGATGACAGGGATAGTGGGCTTGAGCTCTTGGAAGAGTGGTAGTATTTGGGGATGAGTAGTCAAGAGTAAACTGGAAAGACAGATGATGGTAGTCAGAGCTGGATGCACGAATGACAGTTATTGATCTAGGATATAGATTGGTAGACATTTCTTATAAAGGGCTAGATAGTAAATAGTGAAAGCTTTACATCCAGAGAGTTGCTCTCATAACTACTGAATTCTGCCATTGTGGATAAAAGCAGTTGTAAACAATATATAATGGATGAATGTGACAATGTTCCAATAATGCTTTATTTATGAAAATAGGTTACCTGTCTATAGTTGGTCATTCTCTGGTCTAGGTTATGAGGCCTACGAATAACTTAGGTAGGGTAGATGACAGAGTCATCAGATAGGAGATCAAGGAACAGAGAAATCTAGGCTTGGGAAGATGGAATTTGGAAGGAGTACTGTATGTATGGTAAAATTACCAAGGATTAAGACAGGAGGGGTATTAGAGAGCATGAAAATTTTACAAGAGTTAACAACTTTAAGAAGTAGATTTCAAACATCCCAGAGATTGGCACGGGACAAAAGAGCAGAGTGAATGTGATTCAAAGTTGGAGCTATTTAGGGGTTAGGAGAAAATAAGGGTCTGAAAGTAACAATAAGAGAAAGATCCATTTTCAGGGACTGCCACACTTGTCCTCTACATGTTCTCATGAAGCACATATTTTAACTGTTTAAGAACAATTAGAGAGAAAGTAATTTCTAGCAATGAGTCCCCAGTACCAGGTGACTTAGAACGGTGGCTATGAATGTAGATTCTGCAGATTCTGTGTATGCAATGATACAGCACCTTTATAAACACTAACCAGCCACTACCTGGAGACACATTTTAGTTCTCATTGGCAAGAAGACCAGATTTCACATATGCTGTGAATATTTTTTACTGTGTGTTTATAGTAAAATAACAATTTTAGCACAGTGACAGACTTGTTGATAATATCTATGCTATAATGGTTTCACAGAAGTATCGTGGAACCTAGAAAATCAAGTTGATGATCGCTAAAGTTGAAAAAGATCAGAACATGCAAATAGATGACTGAAAATGGAGATACGAGAACTCAAAATGTTAACTCCTATAAAAGGGAACTAGAGATTTTCAAAACGAATAAAATGACACCAAAGAGAGATTAACCAGCAGGCAGAGCGCTGGCAATGTGTGTTCATGAATTATATACTCCACCAGAAGTTCTAGCAAGAGAAAAGCATAGGATTAATAATTAACTAGCATAGTAATAATGGGCTTGTACATTCTGCTTTTTCTCAGTGAAAGAAATAGTTCTACTTTGTCTTTCTGCACATTGTTTGTCTCCTCATATCTATAGAGAGGAAAGTTCATAAACTAAGCTGCTTTTTCATAACTGTGAATCAGTTCTTTCCAAAGCCTTTTCAGCATCTACCTCATACTTTCATTTGTACTTTCCGTAAAAACTAGAAGCCTCAGCCTCTTGCTCCTATATGTGATTTGAACACCACTGAATAGAACTGTGGCGCTCACTGTATCGTGCTGCAACAATTTTGAAACCATTGTCTATTGTATGTTATTTATCACCACGATTATCATTACCTCCAAGTACTGTTTATGGTGTTAAGTCCCTGTCAATATATTTGCCATTGCCACCAACTGCCATCAAGTCAATTGTGACTCACAGTGACCCAGTATAGAGTTTCTGAGGCTGTAAATCTTTATGGGAACAGAAAGCCTCATCTTTCTCCCATGGAATAGCTGGTGGGTTTCAATTGCCGATGTTGTAGTGAGCAGTTCAGTACTTATCCTACAGTACCACAGGGCTCCTTGTCATGTGCTTAATAATGTACAAAACTCTATCCACAGGGAATTTTTAATCTAGGAAAGATAGACCCATATGTTTTCCACCTTCAGCTTCAATAGTTGACAATTTTTCTGGAGTACAAATATAGACTTTTCTAAATGTTTATTGGAGTCCTGGTGAGGCACTGTGGATGAAAGTGCTAGACTGAAAAGCCTGTTTGAACCACAAGGTTGGTGGTTCAAGCTCACCAGCTACTTCTTGGAAACCCTACTCAGGGTTGCTATGGGTCAAATCAACTCAACAGCACTTAACAACAATGATAAATGTTTATTGGATGCATAAATGACAGGACACACAGAAAGTAAAGCTGAAATGTTAGATCCATGCAGGAAGGAACTTGAAGACATTTACATCATGTGTATGAACCTGAAGACACTTACATCATGTATATGAGGCACCTGTGGCTCAGTAGTGTTCTCACCTTCCATGTACATGATATTGGTTTGATTCCTAGCCACGATCCATCTGTCATTGGAGGCTTGCATGTTGCTATGATGTTGAACAGGTTTCACTAGAGCTTCCATACTAACATGGACTAAGAAGAAAAGCCTGACAATCTACTTCTGAAATTCAGCCACTAAAAATACACAATAGTTCCATCCCCACATTATCAAGCAGATGACTCATAATGAATTGTATTCTGTTGTGCATAGAGTCTCCATGAGTTTGGGACCAACTCAATGGCAGTTAACAACAGCAGCAACATTGTGTATTAGTAAGTTCATTTAAAAGTCATAAACAAATGCAGAGTTCTACTTGGGCGAAGAACAAGCAAACAAAGGGTAAAATATGCCCAAGAGAGAAGGGAGGAGATAATAAGTTCTGTTTCTTCCTATTGTTGTTGTTGTTGTTAAGTGCCATCCAGTTGGTTCTGACTCATAGCAACCCTGTATAGGGTTTCCAAGGAGCGACTGGTGAACTTGAACCACCAACATTACTGCTCAAACTCAATGCATTAACCCACAATGCCACATATAATGGCTTAGTGTTTGCAATAACATTGTTGTTGTTGTCAGTTCCCTATTAT